CTTGGGTTTCTGAGGTGGTATCTCTACAGAAGTAGATTGCCCAACCTTCCTTCTGAGGAGTGGCTGGTGGGTTTGAACTGCCAGTCTTCTAGTTAGCAGTCAAGTGCCTTAGGCACTATGCCACCAGAGCTCCCTTACCTAGTCTAGGTTACATTTACTCACTAGAAGCAGAAGTGCAGAAGGAAGAAACACATTCACCACCCAGAGAACATCAGGCAGCACACAAGAAAACACACACACACACATCTTCACATTTTATTGTTTGTGTTGGTCTCTTTTGACACTTGATATTTTACCTGGTGGTAAATGCTCTGGATGGGTAGTGGTTAAAACATTTGACTGCTAACCAAAAAGTCAATGGATCAAGCCCATCAGGCACTCTGCAGAAGAAAGATGAGGCAGTCTGTGTCTGTAAAGATTTATAGCTTTGGAAACCCAATGGAGGTCATTATGAGTCAAAATTGATTTGATGGCAATGAGACATTTTACCTAGACCTAAATGTCAGAGATGGCTCAGTCTTGGTCAAATTCTAGAACTGCTTGCTATAAGGAACCTGAAAAGGGCCACTGATCACAGACTTTCAAGTGTGATGGTCCTGGACATTTTATGACAACACCCAAAAGGTTCGCCCCATATATAGTACTTGGAAAGTCTTTATGCTTTTGTACCTCCAACTTTTCTATAATGAGGTCTATTTCCATGGAGGACTTAAATGTGAAAACATCTGTGTTCAATTCTACTACATCAATGTTTTGTTATCACCTGTCCTCTGTCTCTACCCTCTGTTACCCTCAATAAATGCTTCCCACCAGTTCTATCTGAAGAAAACTGGAGACCATTACAATTCACTGCTGCCGTTTTTAAGTTTTAGGTACACCACACTGAGCTGTCTCTCCCCCATGCTAATGAATGTCTCTTTGCAGGCATTTCCGGTGTCTTTTGTTCATGATCGTGATCTTCATTAGGCTCCTGGCTTATGTGCTTTTCCATATACAGTGCATAAACCCAGACCTTCTTGTGGACACCTTGCCTGTGGTAATGAGCAGGGGTACCGTGAAGAGGCTGAGGGACTTCCTTTTCCCCTTTCTCACACTGGAGGTGGAGGAAGTTCTGCCACACTAGTATGATGTGGCCTGAGGTCCACACACCCAGCAGGAGTGGAGGGAGCATCACTGTGGCCACTTGTTGGAGGATGAACCAGGGAAGAAGTGGAGCTTTCAACTCAGCTATTACTTTGATTTCATCCTCTTTCCTTGCTTTCTCTCTGGAGTGTGTCTCTTTGAAATAAAAAAAATGTTTGACCAGAGTCCATTGTTTTGGTCTGTATTTGATGCATAAATCCTGAAGCCCAGCCAAAGGAAGAAGCTCAGAGACTAGGCACTCATAGGTTTCTACCTGTGCTGTTGAGAAAAGTCATGAGACAATAAAAACTCCTTGTGTTATTTTCCTAGGTCTACTGTAACAAAATTCCACAGATTGGATGGCTTTAAACAACACAAATGTGTTGTCTCACAGTTTTGGAGGCTAGAAGCCCAAATCAATATGTTGGTCAGGTTGTGTTCTTTTCAGACTCCAAGAAAAGATTCTTTCCTTCTTTCT